CCTGTTGCTTGCAGTGATTTCGTTCTTTTTCCACTTTTTAACTCTAATTTTCAAAATTTTTTGGAAACCACTCAGGTAAATCAATTACCAAATTAGTGGTACGGGGAGTTTAGCCATGTAAAAGTTATCTTGTATTTCTCGTTCCGCTCTTAATGAGCCTTGTCAAAAGAAAACCCTACTTTTTCCTTCTTTTTTACAGTTCCAACGGAAGATGAATCTTTGAGTGGAAAGATATCTTCTGTCTATCTACATGTATACTGAATGGAACAAACAACTAACCAAAAACATTTTTTTTCCTTCTTAAAGAAATAACAGCAGTAAAAGAAGTGATTTTCTGTGGAAAGAAAAAAAAAAACGCAAAAAAAAGGATGGCATATTTTTTTGTTCATCAAAAATCTATTTCCTTTCGTAACTTTGTTTATACTGAATATGCACATGTAACGAGAAAAAAGAAAGAACAAAATGAAGCAAAAAAAAAAAAGTTCGAGACAGATACTTAAGCACAACTACGGGCATAGATAGATATATAGATAGATAGATAAATAAATGGATAGACAGATAGAATGATGTATGTGTGTCTGCTTCTGCGTCTGCATGTCTGCCTGCACCAAAAATGCATCTATATGGTCATATATAAAGAACGAGAACGATTAGAACTGGAGCACAAGAAACATGCACGACTGGACAAGAAGTTTGATTTGTTTAAAAAGTCGATTTCCCCTACCAAACCAACCCTAACTGAATTCGCAGTCCAACACTTCCTCCCTTATCTCTGTCTCTCTCTCCATCACGAACTCCCTATTCCTCTGCCTCTCTTCTCCTTTCGATTCTCCAATTCTAATCTCTTTGTCTCTGGTGTACGTCGCCTTAATGTCATCTCCGAAAGTCCGACGATGCCAACCGATGCCAACTGATGACGACCATGCCGTGTACCACTTGCTGTCGCTTCTGGTTACTGCGGTTGTTGTTGTTGTTGTTTTTGCTGCTGTTGCCACTGCAAACTGCTAGCTAACATGGGTACTGCTCAGACACAGCAAAGCTAACAGAACTTGGCGTTGTTGATATTTCAGTTGTGGTGCGTGATAAGATGGGCTGTTTAGCTTCGTCGTGTATGTGCATATATATTTTTGAATGTGTACCGATTAAAAGGAGTTATTTTGGCTGGGTTAAGCATAGCTTTTATAGCTGGAACTGGGCTTCACTGAGTTTTTAGCGGGTTGAACGACTGCTGGCATATGTGACGACGACGATGACGATGACGATGGTCGTGGTGGTGCCGTCTTCGTCGTCATTGCCGTATACCATAGACACCAGTAGCCATGTACTTCATCCGTTCTACTCTTGCTTTTTTACCATTGACAGCCCCAAAATATATTACTTGGCTCTTTACATTAACAGCCATCGCAGCAACAACAACAGCAACAACAACAGAAGCAATGGCAAGAACGACAGTATAATCAATTTTAAATTACGCCCAATAATTTTGACTTGCCCTAAACTTGACATTTCAAAAAAAAAAAAAAAAA